GATTAAGAGATGGTTCCATGCTCCTCAAAACCATCATTCTCCCTGATCAGAGAACTTGCTGCCGAAAAGGTGGACCTGTGGAACAACAGAGACTAAGAGATGGTTCCATGCTCCTCAAAACCATCATTCTCCCGATCAGAGAACTTGCTGCCGAAAAGGTGGACCTGTGGAACAACAGAGATTTTGGAAACAGAGAAGAAAGGGTGGACCTTGGAACAACAGAGATTAGAGATGGTTCCATGCTCCTCAAAACCATCATTCTCCCGATCAGAGAACTTGCTGCCGAAAAGGTGGACCTGTGGAACAACAGAGATTAAGAGATGGTTCCATGCTCCTCAAACCTTCATTCTCCCGATCAGAGAACTTGCTGCCGAAAAGGTGGACCTGTGGAACAACAGAGACTAAGAGATGGTTCCATGCTCCTCAAAACCATCATTCTCCCGATCAGAGAACTTGCTGCCGAAAAGGTGGACCTGTGGAACAACAGAGATTAAGAGATGGTTCCATGCTCCTCAAAACCATCATTCTCCCGATCAGAGAACTTGCTGCCGAAAAGGTGGACCTGTGGAAACAGGATTAGAGATGGTTCCATGCTCCCAAAACCATCATTCTCCGATCAGAGAAATTCTGCCGAAAAGGTGGACCTGTCAGAGATTAAGGATGGTTCCCATGCTCCTCAAACCATCATTCTCCCGATCAGAGAACTTTGCTGCCGAAAAGGTGGACCTGGAACAACAGAGATTAAGAGATGGTTCCATGCTCCTCAAAACCATCATTCTCCCGATCAGAGAACTTGCTGCCGAAAAGGTGGACCTGTGGAACAACAGAGATTAAGAGATGGTTCCATGCTCCTCAAAACCATCATTCTCCTGATCAGAGAACTTGCTGCCGAAAAGGTGGACCTGTGGAACAACAGAGATTAAGAGATGGTTCCATGCTCCTCAAAAAAACCATCATTCTCCTGATCAGAGAACTTGCTGCCGAAAAGGTGGACCTGTGGAACAACAGAGATTAAGAGATGGTTCCATGCTCCTCAAAACCATCATTCTCCCGATCAGAGAACTTGCTGCCGAAAAGGTGGACCTGTGGATAAGAGATGGTTCCATGAACGATCAGAGAACTTGCTGCCGAAAAGGTGGACCTGTGGAACAAGAGATGGATGCTCCTCAAACCATCAGATGGTTCCATGGACCTGTGGAACCAGAGATTAGAGATGGTTCATGCTCCTCAAAACCATCATTCTCCCGATCAGAGAACTTGCTGCCGAAAAGGTGGACCTGTGGAACAACAGAGATTAAGAGATGGTTCCATGCTCCTCAAAACCATCATTCTCCCGATCAGAGAACTTGCTGCCGAAAAGGTGGACCTGTGGAACAACAGAGATTAAGAGATGGTTCCATGCTCCTCAAAACCTTCAATCTCCCGATCAGAGAACTTGCTGCCGAAAAGGTGGACCTGTGGAACAACAGAGATTAAGAGATGGTTCCATGCTCCTCAAAACCATCATTCTCCCGATCAGAGAACTTGGACCTGTGGAACAACGAAAAGAGATGGTTCCACAAAACCATCATTCTGATCAGAGGAAACAGGTGGACCTGTGGAACAACAGAGATTAAGAGATGGTTCCATGCTCCTCAAAACCATCATTCTCCCGAATCTTGCCGAAAAGGTGGACCTGTCAGAGAACTTGAACTTGCTGCCGAAAGGTGACCTGTGGAAAAGGTGGACCTGGACCTGTGGAACAACAGAGATTAAGAGATGGTTCCATGCTCCTCAAACCATCAATCTCCCGATCAGAGAACTTGCTGCCGAAAAGGTGGACCTGTGGAACAACAGAGATTAGAGATGGTTCCATGCTCCTCAGAACTCTCCTGATCAGAGAAAGGTGGACCTGTGGAACAACAGAGATTAAGAGATGGTTCCATGCTCCTCAAAACCTTCAATCTCCCGATCAGAGAACTTGCTGCCGAAAAGGTGGACCTGTGGAACAACAGAGATTAAGAGATGGTTCCATGCTCCTCAAAACCTTCAATCTCCCGATCAGAGAACTTGCTGCCGAAAAGGTGGACCTGTGGAACAACAGAGATTAAGAGATGGTTCCATGCTCCTCAAAAAACCTTCAATCTCCCGATCAGAGAACTTGCTGCCGAAAAGGTGGACCTGTGGAACAACAGAGATTAAAAAGATGGTTCCATGCTCCTCAAAACCTTCAATCTCCCCGATCAGAGAACTTGCTGCCGAAAAGGTGGACCTGTGGAACAACAGCGAAAAGGTGGACCTGATCAGAGAACAACAGGTGGACCTGTGGAACAACAGAGATTGGATGGTTCCATGCTCCTCAAAACCATCATTCTCCCGATCAGAGAACTTGCTGCCGAAAAGGTGGACCTGTGGAACAAACAGAGATTAAGAGATGGTTCCATGCTCCTCAAAACCTTCAATCTCCCGATCAGAGAACTTGCTGCCGAAAAGGTGGACCTGTGGAACAACAACAGAGATTCAAAAAGAGATGGTTCCATGACCTGTGGAACAACTTAAAAACCCTCAATCTCTCCCGATCAGAGAACTTGCTGCCGAAAAGGTGGACCTGTGGAACAACAGAGATTAAAAGATGGTTCCATGCTCCTCAAAACCATCATTCTCCCGATCAGAGAACTTGCTGCCGAAAAGGTGGACCTGTGGAACAACAGAGATTAAGAGATGGTTCCATGCTCCTCAAAACCTTCAATCTCCCGATCAGAGAACTTGCTGCCGAAAAGGTGGACCTGTGGAACAACAGAGATTAAGAGATGGTTCCATGCTCCTCAAAACCATCATTCTCCCAATCAGAGAACTTGCTGCCGAAAAGGTGGACCTGTGGAACAACAGAGATTAAGAGATTGTTCCATGCTCCTCAAAACCTTCAATCTCCCGATCAGAGAACTTGCTGCCGAAAAGGTGGACCTGTGGAACAACAGAGATTAAGAGATGGTTCCATGCTCCTCAAAACCTTCAATCTCCCGATCAGAGAACAGCCAATCTGCCGAATAGGTGGACCTGTGGAACAACAGAGATTAACGATGGTTCCATGCTCCTCAAAACCATCATTCTCCCGATCAGGGAACTTACTGCCGAAAAGGTGGACCTGTGGAACAACAGAGATTAAGAGATGGTTCCATGCTCCTCAAAACCATCATTCTCCCGATCAGAAAACTTGCTGCCGAAAAGGTGGACCTGTGGAACAACAGAGATTAAAAGATGGTTCCATTCTCCTCAAAACCTTCAATCTCCCGATCAGAGAACTTACTGCCGAAAAGGTGGACCTGTGGAACAACAGAGACTAAGAGATGGTTCCATGCTCCTCAAAACCTTCAATCTCACGATCAGGGAACTTACTGCCGAAAAGGTGGACCTGTGGAACAACAGAGATTAAGAGATGGTTCCATGCTCCTCAAAACCTTCAATCTCTCGATCAGAGAACTTCCTGCCGAAAAGGTGGAACTGTGGAACAACAGAGATTAAGAGATGGTTCCATGCTCCTCAAAACCATCAATCTCCCGATCAGAGAACTTGCTGCCGAAAAGGTGGACCTGTGGAACAACAGAGATTAAGAGATGGTTCCATGCTCCTCAAAACCTTCAATCTCCCGATCAGAGAACTTGCTGCCGAAAAGGTGGACCTGTGGAACAACAGAGATTAAGAGATGGTTCCATGCTCCTCAAAACCTTCAATCTCCCGATCAGAAAACTTGCTGCCGAAAAGGTGGACCTGTGGAACAACAGAGATTAAGAGATGGTTCCATGCTCCTCAAAACCTTCAATCTCCCGATCAGAAAACTTGCTGCCGAAAAGGTGGACCTGTGGAACAACAGAGATTAAGAGATGGTTCCATGCTCCTCAAAACCATCATTCTCCCGATCAGAGAACTTGCTGTCGGATGTAGTTTATCGTCATATCCAGGACAGGTTTATTCTTGGTATCATTTAAATTTCTTTTGTTCAGTCTTTTTCTTCCAAGAGATATTTCCATTTCACTGTTATTATTAGAGATGAAAATTTAAACATGAAACGATTCATGTTTAAATTTTTATGTGTTTAATATAGCAGTGAAATGGAAACATCTCTTGGAAGAAAAAGATTAGCAAGAGAATGACAAAGACGGCGACAAAATAACCTATTTCAAGAGTTGAAGCAAAACGACCACTTAATAGACAAAACTTTCTGAGTGCCTCACATGAAAGCTTTGAACAAATCTGAAATCTAAGAAATGTAGTAGAAAAGTAAATTAAACGGATCCTTTTCATTGAGAAATAATTTTGTCTAAATACAGATTAATATTTTATTTGTAGAGATTTGTAAAACGGTTAAGGAAAATAATTATTCATAAATTTACTAACTTAAGCTGATTTACCACCCTTCCCAGTACTATATGAGACAGGAAATATATCAATAAATACAAAGGCAATATATAAATAAATACACATTGTTAATTATTATATGGTTTGATTACGATTAACACTTTTAATTCTTTAAAAATGGTCTAATTGATCCATTCATTTTTTACGGTTTATCACCCTTTGTAAGAATAGAACTTTTTTTTTTTGCGAGTGACTAATAGAGTAAAAACTTTTGAGAATAAGAGTGATTGTTTTTTTCAAATACAAGTTCAACTATTTAACCCAACGCAGGGGGGAGAATATGGATTCATACATTTCCGAAAGTTTTTTTTTATTTGTGCATAAGTAAATGCAACTTACCCAACTGGAATTCGAACTCGGCTCTCCAAGTCTCTTCTTTTTTAACATGTTGGTAACTAAAAATCAATCTCTGTCTAGTCCGTGGTTCGAGCCAACATTCGCTATATTTTAAAGGATCTAACCCAAAGTAGGAAGCTTGCTTTGCAATGACGCCGAAAACAAACCATTTTGCATCCAAGTACTTCCATATTTGTTGACGACCGGAGCAATAGCGATCACGTGGACCGTTCGCTTCTGTCTCCACATCAAAGAGATAAGAGTTAATAATGGTGAAAACGACAGGATGCGTCCTCTTCGACCCCGCCCTTTTCAATATGGACACCTGCTGCCGGTCATGCCTACAAGGTGGGGGAGTGGCGGAGGTCATTTGAGGATTTCAATCAGTTTCTACTTGATTATTTTTCAATCCAATCGTTTCTCTTCAAATCTTTCTTTTGTGTCTTTTTTTCCTTTTACCCTTTCTTTGTATTTAATTCCATATTTCTTTCTTTCTTTTTCTACCTCATTTCAATTCTTTCTTTCTTTTTGATTGCATTTAATTACATATTTATTTATTTATTTTTATTTATTTCCATATCTCTTTTTTGTCTATTTCAATTCTTTCTTTCTATTTAGATCCATATTTTTTCTTTTCCTTCTTTGTTTCTTTCAATTCTATATTTCTTTCATTCTTTCTATTTAAATTCATTATCTTCTTTTTCTGTCTTTTCTTTTACTAATCAATCTTTCTGTTCTTTCTTTATTTCATTATTTCTTTTCAGTTTCTTTCTTTCTTTCTTTCTTTCATTCATTCTTTCCTTCTTTCTTTCTTTCTTTTTTCTTTCTTTCTTTCTTTCTTTCTTTACTGCTTTATTTAAATTATTTCTTTCCATTTCTTTATTTCTCTTTTTTTAGTTTTCTTTCAATTTTATATTTCCTTCCTTTTTTATTTCTCTTCTTCCCACTCCTTTGTTTCTGATTTTCCATTCCTTTTAATTTCATTTCATAGATTCTTTCTTGTTTTATTCTCATTTTTATTCTTTCTTTCTTTCTTTCTTTCTTTCTTTCTTTCTTTCTTTCTTTCTTTCTTTCTTTCTTTCTTTCTTCTTAATTCTGTATGTATTTCCTTTCTTTCTTTCACCATTTTTTTCTTTTATTTCTTTTTAATTCCTTTTCTGTTTCTTTCCCCTTTCTTTTTCCTCCCGGTTAATTTTTTTCTTTTTTTTTCGGGTTGCCTTTTTTTTTTTTCTTTCTTTCTTTCTTTTCTTTCTTTCTTTCTTTCTTTCTGTTTAATTCTGTATGTATTTCCTTTCTTTATTTCACCATTTTTTTTCTTTTTATTTCTTTTAATTCCTTTCTCTGTTTCTTTCCCTTTCTTTTTTTCCTCCCGGTTAATTTTACTTTCTTTTTATTTCTTTTCGGGTTGCCTTTCTTTCTTTCTTTCTTTCTTTCTTTCTTTCTTTCTTTCTTTCTTTCTTTCTTTCTGCTTAATTCTGTATGTATTTCCTTTCTTTATTTCACCATTTTTTTCTTTTTATTTCTTTTAATTCCTTTCTCTGTTTCTTTCCCCTTTCTTTTTCCTCCCGGTTAATTTTACTTTCTTTTTATTTCTTTTCGAGTTGCCTTTCTTTCTTTCTTTCTTTCTTTCTTTCTTTCTTTCTTTCTTTCTTTCTTCTTAATTCTGTATGTATTTCCTTTCTTTCTTTCACCATTTTTTTCTTTTTATTTCTTTTAATTCCTTTCTCTGTTTCTTTCCCCTTTCTTTTTCCTCCCGGTTAATTTTACTTTCTTTTTATTTCTTTTCGGGTTGCCTTTTCTTTCTTTCTTTCTTTCTTTCTTTCTTTCTTTCTTTCTTTCTTTCTTTCTTTCTCCAAGAACTACTACAATGCCATAATACTTTCTTCCTTCTTTACTTTCCGACCGGAACAATCACAACGATTTGATGCTCTTTCTTTTGTTTACCGCCATTACATTAGCCTTTTTTCTCTCTTTCTCATACGTCGTCTCTTCCATCTTTTCCACTTTTTTTCTCTTTTCGCCCTCGGCATTTTCCTCTTCGTTATCTTCTCCAGTCTTTTACTTCGCTTCTTCTTTCTCATTCTTCTTTATTTCCTTTAGAAATGACATTGATGAGAAACAGGAAGAAATGGGTCGTTCTTTCGCGACCCTAGATGTCTCCTCCTGACCAACAATCGATCCATTCAGCTCACAATGCTAACATACAATGCTCACAAATGCAACAATCATTTAGAAATGACAGGAAAATATGAACATCCATTTGCAGCAAAATCCATAAAGGAAAAAAAATGAAAATTACTTTGCCAAATATATTTCAAAAGAGTAAAGATATAAACCAAAAAAATTCCTATAGACATGAATCTTATAAAAATAGTATTTTAAAAACATAACAAAAATAATCATTTTAAATGTCTTCAAAGTAATTAAAGTCTAATTCATCAGATCCTGGTCTGGGGAGAGATTAAGTTAATCATAAACAAAAAGATTAATTCATTTTAGTCTAATTAATTTCATTTTTACAACTGATTTACTACTTAAATCAAAATTGATAGAAGTAAATAAGTTTGCCTATCGTTCAGTTCACACTCCTTCCCGGTCTTTTGAACAGGAGTTTAGGATTGTTTCTTGTTTTGGGGTCTCTGGTTCCCTCTCTTTCACATCCAGTATCTCCTCATGTCTTAGCGGCTTTATCGCCGTGCTTGGGATGAATTATTATTATCGCTCGTCCTCCGCCGAGATGACAAGTGAATCCGATCTTCGCTCTGAAAAATCTGTTGCAGTTGTGACATGGAACGCTGGGAGTTGAATCAGGTCGTGTGAGGCGGAGACCTCTTGATCTTTCGTTTTATGGCGTCTTTGTTCTTTGTCCCTGATTCTTTTCTCTTCAAAATCAGACATTCCGGACCTTACAAGGGAGCACCAAACACTTCCCAGGTGGAATGAGGAATGCTACAACGCTTGAGAGACTCATTCAGCGTGTCTTTGTAACGTTTCTTTGGCCTGCTGAGCGAACGCTTGACTGTGGATAGCTCGCCATAGAGCAATCTCTTCTAGAGGGCGACAGTCGTCCATGCAGCGGACGTGGCCAGCCCACCGGAGCGTATAGCGCAGTAGGATGACACGGATGCTCTCTATCCCAACACGCTGGAGAACTTCAGCACTTCTTATTCATAGCAAATGTCCTACAATAAAATAGAGCACAACTTACAATCCCTGTATCAATGTTCAACTACCGACAATCCTATGATTGACAGATTTATTTATAGATTAGACTAAATTATGAATCTCGACATTTTATGAAAGTTTTTAAAAAGTTTTTTTTCGGGTTTCAGGAATAAGCAAATATTAACAATATATCATTTAATTTTAAGAATACGGTCTCAGTTTAATGGTGGACATTTTTTTGATACACGTTTCACCATTATTTACGAATTTCACTTGGAATCGAGGAACCTATTTTTTTTTAAGAATTTCTCCCTAAGCAAGGAGGGAGTGCCATTAGCACGCAAGGGGTTACAGAGAGCTGGTGCAAAAGTAAAGAGGCGTGATAGAGGAAAGGATGAAGAGGAGGACGGGGAATTAGATCAAGGCATCTGAAGATATCAAGAGACATTGCATTTGAATAATTTAAGAATGTAGCTATCAGGGAAGCAAGTAAGAGGAAGGGAGTTTCACAGACGGGAGGTGCGAGACATGAAGCTGTTGTAGTAGTCGGCTACATTTAACAGTTTCGACAGTGAAAGGGTGGGACTGAAATGCCAACCTAGTAGCACGCTTAAATTCATGCAGTTTGGGAACCAGCGAAAGTAGCTCGTCGGAGCAGTTACCGTGAAGGTATTTGTAGAAAAGACAGAGGGAAGCGATGGCACGTCTGTGAGAAAGTGACAGTTGACGAGATGCCAGATCAGGACCAATCACATTGCATATCCATCTCTGGATTTTGTCGAGGACCTTGAGACATACAGCAGGGGCTCCAGACCATATATGACAGCAGTATTCCATGCAAGGGCGAATGCTTGATTTATAGATTTGAAGGATGGATTTTTCTTTCTGGTGCGACACAGAGAACCAACTTTCCTTGCAGTAGATGAAGCTATTCATTCAGTATCTAACAGAGATTAAGAGATCCTGATGACGACAAAGTGCTAATGTCGAAAGTACTAGAATTAAAATGAATATACATCAACATGGTAATTTTCTTCCTTCCTTTAATGAAGATACTAAAAAACTTGTCCCTTATTAGGAGAGAATCCTATTAAAAATAGACAAAACTTATCTAAATTATTTAATGAGACATATCTTAATGAAAACATGCTGCTAAAATATACACAATATATATATATACACACACGCACAAGCACACACACACACACACACACACACACACACACACACACATATATATATATATATATATATATATATATATATATATATATATATATCCTCACTAGTATCGTGAATCCGAGTAGCAGAAGCAGAACGTATGAAATTTGGAGTCGTGCTACTGGTGTGGATGTGCGCTGTGGTGTAATGAATATCTTCTGCGAATGAGAACTCGGAGGGCCGCGTTAGAATCCCTGTGGAGTTCGTTATATCACTTACTCACAAATACCATTGGGAAAGGTATGTATCCAGCTTGATTGTGGGTTGAATAGCAGGACAGACTGGGTACTTTAGCCTTGGTAACGTGTCTACCGTAGAAAGAAATGGTAACCGCAAACTGCCTCTTCAGTCATGTATCGAAAGATACATGATCACTCAAGCGTGTATTACAGGTGTTACTTAACTAACTAACCTGCTACTGGTAAAGAAAAATGTAAATTTATCAATATATAATTTAAAGACCTTGTTATATTACAGCGAGCATTTATTTATAAACACCACCACTAAATTTGCGATATTACTGAAAAAAAGACTATATTGTGATCGCTATTTAATGCATTGTCTTTAGAAAAACTTTGTAAATTCTTTTATACTATATCTTCATGTTCGAGAGAAAACCTCGGTATGAGAGGAACAAAGAAAATTGCATAAAATGTTGGCGCTCTTTTGTTTTAAAAATAACTTGTAACTAGAGTTTTCTCTAATTACGCTGAAAGTTTGTTTTTTTTAATCATTTCGTCCCAAGCAAATTATAAAGCCACTAAGACACAAGGTGCCGGTAAAAGACTATGAGGAAAAGAAAAATTGATAAGGAGAGTGAACAATAAAAGAACAGGAATTAAGGAAACATAAATAACAATTGATACTGATTTTATATTTTTGAAGATCAAACTTGACTAGAGAGAACAAGAAGCCGCAAGACCCTTGCACAAGCGGGAAGTGCATAGAAATTGTTAACATGGACATTACGGTTAAAATATAACCATTTCAGCTACCAGCTGTTTATTCTGGTACATTTGAATGTCTTTTTTGCCTACCAACTTGTGTGTCTACTTATATTTATATCTTGGTCAGCCTGTAAACTTTTCAGCCGACACTCGTAAGATGATGAAACTTTGCTTCTAATCCATTCAGTCAATCAGTTATGTGTCATGCGTGATAACACGCTTAGGCGATTGTGTGTCTTTCAATACATGACTGACGAGGCTTATTTTCCTGCAGTAGGTTGCCATTTCTTTCTACGGTAGACCAGTTGCCATCCAAGGCTATATAACCAGGTCTGTCCTGCTATTTACCCATAGCTGAGGGGAGAAGAAGAGGATTCATATCTTTCCAAACGGTATTAGCTCGTAAGTGAATGTAATGAATTCGATTGGAATTCGAACTCGGCTCTCCGATTCCTCAATCCAAGCCTTATTCCACAAATTCATAAAGTCTAGATATCAAAGCGGAAAGAACACCAGGACAATTACCATAAAAATATTTATGAATAAAAGCATATGGAAGATACAGTAGGTTGGTGAGAAAGTAACTGATGCCGAGATAAAAGGCCAGGACCAATAATATTGCAGATTCTTTCTTGTATTTTATCAAGAATCTCTAAATAAATAACAGGGACACCAAACAAGATGTGTCAGCGATATTCAATGCATGGTCAAATCGTAAATTTATAAATGCCTTGCTGTATTTCTCATATAATATAATGCAATATAAATGAATTATAGACAGTTAGCTCCCGTGTAACACTGAAATCAATAATTGATTAACTATCGAATAACGTATTGTTATTCGAGTATGGCATTCTCACAACGACGGTTGTAGTTAGTTTCGAATAGGAAGTTCTTCCACATCCGATATATTTTTTCACATCTTTTATTTACAAAGTACGTCTTCTATCCATACTCATTTTTATTGGATATTCTATACTTGCGGCTTTGAACACGAAACTATGTTTAAGCTACAATTAACGTTTAGCCTTGAGCAAATAACCCATGAGCTGGTTTTGAAGTTTATTAAGCCTTCGTTAGTGGCATGGCGTTTTTGAAAATCCATTAAAATGCTTTTCTTTAATGGCAAGTTAAATTCTGTTGATTAATCACGTAGATTTCTGAATACTCCTGTGAATATCGAATTTTACAAACGTTCCTTCCTCATTTTGTTTCCTCGAAACCTCAGCTTGCGCGTAACTACAATGAGATTTTGGATTTATTCATACGATTTCTGTACATTAAAAACAGTTTTCTATGTTTAGGGGTACGAATGTAATCCTTAGTTCTAACGACGATTTTTCTTTCATTTTTTAATCCCTTTTTCTTTTAATTCTTTCATTCTTTTCTTCTTTTAATTCTTAATTCTTTAAATCTCTTAATTCGTTAATTCTTTAATTCTTTCATCCTTTTAATTCTTTAATTCTTTTTTCTTTTAATTATTTCGTTCGTTTCATTTTTTCTTTTAATGCTTCCACTCATTTCATTCTTTAATTTTTCTTTTAATTCTTTCATTCGTTTAATTCTTTAATTCTTTTAATTCTTTAATTCTTTTTCTTTTAATCCTTTAATTCTTTTAATTCTTTAATTCTTTCATTCTTTTAATCCTTTAAAACTTTTAATTCTTTAATTCTTTTTTCTTTTAATCCTTTTATCCTTTTTTACTTTAATCCTTTAATTCTTTAATTATTTTTTCTTTCAATCCTTTAATTCTTTTAATTCTTTAATTCTTTTTTCTTTTAATTCTTTAATCCTTTTTTATTTTTATTCTTTTATTCTTTCATTCTTTTAATTCTTTCATTCGTTTAATTCATTAATTTTTTTCTTTTAATCCTTTAATTCTTTTAATTCCTTAATTCTTTTTTTAATGCTTTAATTCTTTTAATTCTTAAATTATTTTTTCTTTTAATTCTTTAGTACTTTTTTTCTTTTAATCCTTTTTTCTTTTAATCCTTTAATCCTATTTTTATATTTATTCTTTTATTCTTTCATTATTTTAATTTTTTCATTCGTTTAATTCTTTAATTCTTTTTATTTTATTTTAATCCTTTAATTCTTTTAATTCTTTAATACTTTTTTCTTTTAATTCTTTAATTCTTTTTCTTTTAATTCTTTAATTTATTTTCATATATCGAATGTTCTTTTGAAATGTTTGGAAATATTCTTTAAGAATTTTCCTGTTCACTTGGAGATTGTTTTAATTCTTTCATTCGTTTAAGTCTTTAATTATTTTTATTTTAATTCTTTTTTCTTTTAATTATTTAACTTCTTTAATTCTTTTTTCTCATATTTCGAATATTCTTTTGAAATATTGTTTAATAATTTTCCTGCTGACTTGGAGATTGTATCTCCAACATTAACATTACATTCTTACATTGGTCACACATGCATCACCCA